TTTTACTTGTGTGGCACCACTATGATTGACTGGGTCCATTTGACCGCTACCTTATGGGGGGAAAAGCAGGTTATTAGGTCTTAAATAAAGACTCTGCAGTTAGGGATGCACGATATTGAGATTTTTGGCCGATATCCGATATGCCGATATTTTAAAACTCATGTAGCCGATAACCGATATCGATACCGATGTTAAAGCTGGACAAAAATAAGTAGTCGTTGAAAATAGCAGTTTTGTTATCCATTTCTGACACTTTGAAAAATAATATACTCAAATATATTTTCATATGCTGATACCAAATTGATTTTTAAAAACGCGGTATCGATCTATTTTACTTTCAAAATCTCGTGAAATTTCATCGTTCTGTTACAAACTCTCGTGATATTTTGCAAATTCTTGTGAGATTTTGTTAGTAAAATAGATCGATACCGCGTCAATATATCAACATATAAAAATATGGCAAAATTTCGTGAATTTTCGGGGGATTTCGTAGCATAACGATGACATATAGCAATATTTCATTAGTAAAAGAGATTGATATGGTGTTTTTAAATGGCAATATATCAGCATAGGAAGATATTGGGATATTTTAATGTATCAATATTTTTTCCCTCATCTTTAGAAGTTTTTAAGTCTGTAAAAAAGAAGTTTTTGAGGAAGAAGAAGAAGTAGTATTTTTTATTATTATTTTTTTTAGACTTTAGAAGCTCAGAAGCTGATCAAATATCGGGTTAAATATCGGTGGGGTGGCCGATGTCCGATATTCAGTTTTAAGGCCGATACAGGCCGATACCGATAGGGGGCAGATTATATCATGCATCCCTATCTGCAGTTTTTTGTTTTTCTTTTATTAGTGGATGCCCTTCTTGATGTGGTCAGGATTCAGGCCTGTTTCCAGGAATAAAAGTCACAGATTTAGCTACTGAGAACTAAATATATTTGCATTGAAAATAAAAAACATAGAATAAATATGACCTTTTTTACTTCAATTGTATTTGTACAATCAGTCAATTAAAGCCAGAAATTTTTATAGCCACATAAATGGTAGCTATTGTGGTTCATTCAAATCTCTTCTACCCTGTTTACAGAGAGCAGGACAGATCAAGTTATGGATGAGTAGGACAAGCAGAAAGCAGGCTGGCCTTCGCAGATGGAAACCAACAAACCCTGAGGTAGAGAGAGAGAGGGGAGCAGCTTTCACCAAAGGGCTGAAAAGGGTTAATCACAGGGCCAACATATCCACCAACACGACTCAGAGCCCGTTCTGGTTTCAACAAGGCTTCAGAGCAACAACTCTAGATAGTATCTGGCACCGCTGAACAGCAGAACGAGCCGATGAGTCATTGGTGTCGTCAATTGTGGGCAGAAGAAAGACAAAACCCTAGGAAACATAAACAAACTGTAGATCTGCAAAAGAAGGTGTAGAGACATGTAGGATATCTGTAACTGTATGTTGCCCGTTGATATTTCTGACCAGAGTGCGAAATACGTGGGGGGGGGGGGGTCCAGGGGGGCTCGACCCCCCTGATTAACCATGAGACCCCGAAAGCCTCAAAACAAATTAAAGGGATCTTAAATTGTGTCAAAAAAATTAAAATAAAATATATTTGTCGCTAATGGTAACTAAAATGTTTTTAAGCTAAACATGTCAGTATTAAAAATTCAAAAATTTATCCAAATACGTTCTGTTTTTGCCAAGGGAGCAGCAATCCCGTTCGCGTATGCAAATTACCATGTGCTTTCCAGTTATTAACATGGCAGGCGGAACAGATTGGCAAAACAGCAGGTCTTCACTCCTGATTGTGTGCCTCGATGGACCTCCTGGAAAATTTGACCCAGTTTCATTCGTCAGAGCTAGATTAAAGCAGGACATTGTGCCATGCATGAAAGAGAGAGACAGACAGAGAGACATCTTTGTGTTTTGTTGTCGTGTGTGTGTTTCTAGACGGACTGTCTGTCAGGCTCTTGCGTTCACCAGATTCACAGAAAGCTTTCTCCCAAGCTGTCAGGAAGCTGAGCCCACCTCAAAAAAAAAATCACCCGTCTCTGACTACTTAATACATATTTAGTTACTGATCTTATGTGCTGTTACAAATATATTTAACATAATGGTATACTTTTTTTTTCTGCTGCCATTCCATTGCCTTTGCACTAGCAGATATTGTATATTTTATATTATATTTTATGTGAAATTGAAAGTTTAATTTAATATGAGGAATGATCTTATCTGTTGTGCCTGTGCACTTATCTGTTCACGTTGGTGAATGAGAAAGTCCTCCAGTCCTTGTTGTCTGGTGAATGTGAAAATTTCTAAAGCTGCTTTACTGTGACTTTGCAATGTTATAGTCCTATGCATATTGAGAAAATTAGATTGGTATTGTGGACAATTGGGAGGAGACCCCAATATTGCGGTATTCTACACTGGTCTGACTGATAGAAGCCGAAGTTAGGTCTGAGTGTCGTTTACGTTTTGTCAAACACTTTGGGACTCTGTTTGTTTGGAGATAATATTGTTTGGTATCACATCGTTCTTTGTTTTGGGCCCTTTAGTATAGAAAGTAAATGTAATTTTTAATTCAGCTTCTGTAGTATACTCCAACAATGCTGGGCTTCAGCCCAATTGTTGGATTCTGTTTTTTAATGTGAACCATAAATAGCATCAAACTATAACCCAAGATTTTATTATCTTCCTTTTTTTTTCTCGAAAAAAAAATGTTATCCTGCCAGGAGAGAGCTGTAGGAATGTTGGGAATGCTTTCATGTCTGCGTGGGAAAGTTGAGAAACTGGTGTGCACAGTACGACTATTAAAGACAGATCATCGTAAATCAACTTGTAAGCACTAAAACTATATTTTGTTTTAGAAAAAAGAATGAATACTTATAGTGTTAGCTTTTGATCTGAAGCTCTGAAGTGACCTCTCTGAGAGGGAGTGAGAGGAATGCATCCTCGCATTAATATGCCAAAAAAGGTGGTAAAACTGTTAAAAACACACTTAAATAGTCTCTTGTCGTTTCTTCCTCGATTTACGAATCTTTAAGTAAAACGATGTTTCGACGCACTATATGAACCCTATGATTATGGAACGGGATTATAACTCTATGTGTCAAGGCAGGTGAGCAAATACTTTTGGCAATATAGTGTATTTCTGACCAGAGTGCGAAATACGTGGGGGGGGGGGGGGTCCAGGGGGGCTCGACCCCCCTGATTAACCCATGAGACCCCCCGAAAGCCTCAAAAACAAAATTTAAAGGGGATCTTAAATTGTGTCAAAAAAATAAAAAATAAAATATATTTGTCGCTAATGGTAACTAAAATGTTTTTAAGCTAAACATGTCCAGTATTAAAAATTCAAAAACTTTATTCCAAAATACGTTCTGTTTTTGGCCAAGTGGAGCCAGCCAATCCCGTTCGCGTATGCAAATTAGCCATGTGCTTTTCCACAGTTATTAACACTGGCAGGGCGGAACAGATTGCGCAAAGACAGCAGGTCTTCACTCCTGTTTGTGGACCTCGATGGACCTCCTCTGGACAAATTTGACCCAGTTTCATTCGTCAGAAGCTAGATTAAAGCAGGACATGTGCATGCATGAAAGAGAGAGACAGACAGAGAGACAGTCTTTGTGTGTTTTGTGTGTCGTGTGTGTGTTTTCATAGACTGACTGTCTGTTCAGGCTCTTGCCCGTTCCACCAGATTCACAGAAAGCTTCATCCACCAAGCTGTCAGGAAGCTGAGCCCCCCCTCAAAAAAAAAATCACCCTGTCTCCTGCACTACTATTAATACTATATTTAGTTACTGTTCTTACTGTTACTGTTACAAATATATTTAACATAATTGGTAATAATACTTTTTTTTTCTGCTGCCATTACCATCTGCCTTTTTGCACTAGCAGAAGTATTGTATATTTTATATTATTATTTTATTGTGAAATTGAATGTTTAAATTTTAATATGAGGAACTGATCTTATCTGTTGTGCCTGTGCACTTTATCTGTTTCACTGTTGGTGAATGAGAAACGTCCTCTCCAGTCCTTGTATGTCTGGTGAATGTGAAAAATTTACATTAAAGCTGACTTTAACTGTGACTTTGCAATGTTATAGTCCTACTGCATATTGAGAAAATTTAGATTGGTATTGTGCAACAATTGGGAGACGGAGACCCCCCAAATATTGACAGGTATTTCTCACACTGGTTCTGACTGGAATGAGAAGCCGAAGTTAGCGTCTGAGTGTCGTTTACGTTTTGTCAAACACTTTGGCAACTCTGTTTGTTTGAGCAGATAATATTGGTTTGGTATCACATCCGTTCTTCTGTTTTGGGGCACGCTTTAGTATAAGAAAGTAAAATGTAATTTGTTTTAATTCAGCTTCTGATAGTATACTCCAATCAGATGCTGACTTCAGCCCAATGTGTTTGGATTCTCGTTTTTTAATGTGAACCATAAATAGCATCAAAACTATAACCCGAAGATTGTAATTATCTTTCTTTTTTTTTCCTCAGGAAAAAAAAATTTATCATCCCTGCCAGGAGAGAGCTGTAGGAAATGTTGGGAATGCCTTTCAATGTTCTGACGTGGGAAAGTTGAGGAGAACTGGTGTGCACAGTACGACTTATTAAAGACAGATCATCGTAAATCAACATTGTAAGCACTAAAACTATATTTTGTTTTTTAGAAAAAATAAAGAATGAATACTTATAGTGTTAGCTTTTTGATCTGAAGCTCTGAAGTTGACCTCTCTGAGGAGGGAGTTGAGAGGAAAATGCATCCTCCGCATTATATATGCCCAAAAAAGGGGTGTAAAACTGTTAAAAACACACTTAAATAGTTCTCTTTGTCGTTTTTTTTTTCTTCCGATTCTACGTATATCTTTAAATAAAAACAATGTTTCTACAAGCAACTAATATCGGTTTTGTATCACATCCATTCTTCTATTATAACTCTCTCCTCTTTGGCCTTCCTCAAAAATCACTCCATAAACTACAGCTGGTCCAGAACTCACCTGCCCGCATTAAAACAAGAACTTCCTCTATCCACCACATCACTCCGGTTCTCCGACAGCTCCACTGGCTCCCTGTGCAGTTCTGCATTCAATATAAAATTCTTATGGTGACATTCAAGGCCCTTCACCACCTCCTGCATGTCCCCACACCCTCTTGAGCTCTCAGATCCTCATCGGCTTTATACCCGTCTGTCCCTTCTGCCCGTCTCACCAGTGGCGGCTGGTGAAAAATATTTTTGGTGGGGCTGATATAGCCTAGTGTATGTCTCCAACTAACCCGGAATAAGAATTCAAATAAACAATTGGACAATACATACAATTTAACAGTAATGATTTAATTTACTATATAATAACAGTAACAGTGATGATTTGGGTCACTGTGACGGGGTTCTTTGGCCTCCAAGAATCCAGTCTCAGTCGGGTTACCGGTGTTGGTGATTTATTGAGCTCAAAAACTCAAAACAGGGTGCAAAAGAAACTAAACATATACAAGATCCTCTGGGCCTCAGCCTCCCTCCAGTTACCAGCAATGGAACAAAGAAACAGAAAACAAAAATTGCCGCTTTTCTTCCCACAGCCCTCATTAAATAGTTTAAGCCCCTCCCCTCAGGCTCTCTTATTTCTGATTTCTTCTCATTAATCAGTTTTGTCCATATATTACCTCCACAAACAATTGATGTACAAAAACAAATAATTTTTACAACTTAATTCTTTTACACAGATTCATTGACTTATTCAATTACACCAAACTGGGTTTGAACCCAGCAAAGACGCAGCCAGACTGAAGATGACAAGTCCCCGTAGCATAAACACGTACAACCCCCCCCCACACACACACACACCCACACCCACACACACACACACACACACACACACACACACACACACACACACACACACACACACACACACACACACGGCTAACCCCACTGAAATATTAAGTGTGCACCCTCAATACGCCAGCAGGTAACCAGGACAGCTTGTGTGTTTTAAGTTCATGGAGCTACTGGTCTCAGCGCGAGCGGATTGGTCCTCACAAACACAGTATAACAGGAATGTGTGTGTGGCGCGCAAAGTTAGAGAGGTTGTTTTAAGCGACGAGGTGGATTCGTCACAGTCACAATAACCATGAAATGAAATGTTCATATCATACAACAGGGATATTCTTCTGGCAAACGGGTAGATAAATAAGGATCTCACCGAATTTGGTGGAAGCTGCATCTCGGTCGTTACATTCGCCATCTTCCCTCTAATCGTCTGCACCTGCGCTTGGGTTCAGAAGCCTGTTAAAGCGCAGTATTTTCAGCGCCCCAATACCATAAAGTTCCGAGACGCTGATTGGCCATTAAATTCACCTAGCAATAGTACATGATTGACAGATTCTCTGCAAATGTGGGTCAGTCTGATCACAGCCCCCAGAACAGAGACGGTAGGAGTCTGTCTGTGGAAATCCACAAATTAATGACAGTAGATAGGGAAATGTAGTTTATATAATTTGTTTTGCTTATAGTTACACAGTCTAGAGAGTAAAACAGACATTTATGAGTTAATTTCTAAAAATATATTTTACGTTTCTCTCTTCTTATCAGGGAGGGCGGTGCCGCAGCGCCCCCTATGGGCCGGCCGCCACTGCGTCTCACCACCATGGGGAGCAGAGCAGTCAGTCGCTGTGCCCCCCCCTCCTCTGGAACCCTCTACCATCCGTACTGAGAAACACGGACTCACTTCTCCATTTCAAAGCACAACTCAAGACTAATTTGTTTAAAAGTGCCTATTCTCTTTATTATTAATTTCCCTGTGCCAGCCTTTGTATTTTTAAAATGGTTTTTATTCTGTGTTTTGCCTTTGTTTCTGCCATTGTGTTTTTATCTTTTGTACGGTGACCTTGAGTGTCCACAAAAGGCACCTTTAAAATAAAATGTATTATTATTATTTACAACTGCTTTCATGGTTCAGAAAATGAATGAGGTGTAATTAATCTAAGATAAAGGAAATGAAAGGCAGACATCGGCTCCAGCAGTTCTTTATCAAAGTTTTTTTTCTTTTAGGGTATACACGTGAAAATGTTTTTATTCTTTAATATCATAAATGGTCATCACAAAAGCTTATCGCAAACATCACGGAGGTCATATTTTGAACAACAGCGTCCCATCTGTGCTGTGAGCGGAGATACATCCAAACCTCATCCTGTCTCCTTCATATGCTTTACAGAGCCTAAAGTTATTAAATAAATCATATTAATACATACATCTTCACGGAAGAATTGCATTCGCATCCCGTCAGATTCTCTTCAACCTTAGTTTCTGCACGTACCATTGATCTTAGACAGAGCTGTCTCCTGTTTAGACAACTTTGTTGTTTACTTTGCTGCCTGGCCTGGAGAGCTTTGACGCTCCTCTACTGCATAGAAATGTAGAACTGCAAACAGATATGCCATATACAGAGAAACAAAATCCACCAACTCTATAGTCTCATCCTGTGGCACGGGGTCCGAACTGGTTCAAGGATGATGGTTCTACTTGTGGAAACGAGGCTTTAGGGTGACCATAGGTTTGATGGCACAAAAACCCAATTAGCAAAATAGTATAGGGGATTTTTAAACTGAAGTGAACAACATATCAAGTACAATTATAAATGAATCTTTTATGACTGGTAAGAGACATTGGAGCCATACTGTAGATAGCAGCCAGCATTTTTTATATAGATGGCTTTCTCAAAATTCTGCTTTTTGCAGTTTTCAATATTTAATATACACTTAGGGCAGCTGTAAAGAGAATTAAAGTTTCAGTGAGCACCTTTTCCTGAACATAAAAATCCTTAAAACTTATAGCACAGTTCAGAATAACCCTGTTTTCCTCTTTCCCAGCACACTTCACATTGGCAATCCATACCACTTAACCTAAGTCTGTTTAAAACAAAATATACCATGACGATTTACTCTTAACTGTATCTGTAACTTTCAAATCTGAGCCTGTTTGTTTAAAATCCTGTAATGGACTTTTTTTATTATCACAAGGTTTGAGAAAATGAAATGCAGATGAAACAGCTGTTTGTTTAATCAGCCTATCAAAGTGTGACCAATGCAAAGCTTATTATTTGCTGTAATTATGATGGAGGAAAACTGTCAGATTATGGATAGAAGAACAGATGGGAGGATGAAGAAGTAGATTCATGTGCTGAAAAACACAAATTAATCATAACATTTGGTAAAGACTGTAGCTGCCTCTTCAGAAGAAGCCCCATTTCAGAAAGCAAGAGTAGCAGCAAACCAGAGTAAGTTCTTGGTTAAATTACTGGATAACCTCCGTTTCTTCTTTCAGAGAAATAGGAAGCCATTATCCTGAGTAAAATTGAAAAGTGAAACAACCCTGCTCAGTTGCAGGTTTGGAATAACTTCTCTGTTGTGTTGAAAAGGTGAAGATCGGATAATAAAAGCATAGAGGGCTTTACCCCAAGATGTGTAACATGATAGAAGAAGACATGCTGAGCAGGGCCGTGCAGAGACCACTAAAGGGGCAGGTGCTCAAAAAAAAAAAAAAAAAAAAGGGCACATCTTATCGCATTTTAGGACAGAATATTAACAAAGTCACATAGCTTTCAGAGTTTAATGAACAATGATAAATTACAAAATTGTGAGACATACAATCAAAGCTAAGGGAAACACAAGAACAACAGCCTAATGTCTGTATGATAAAAATACTGAATCGATAGATAAGAACAGCTGTTCCTCACCTGGCTGTCTCCTCCCGCTCAGTAGTTCTTCAGAGAAAGGCGCGCCGCGTCCTATACTTTCCTCCGTTTAAACCGCTACTCTTTGCTAAAGTAGAGAAATTATACAACGTTCAAAGTTTTCCGTTGTCTGACAAGTAGCAAGCCTACTCCAGTATTTTCACCCAAAATTATGTTTTTTAATTCACAAAAAAACTGTTCTGTAATCATTACAGAACAGTTTTTTGTGAATTAACAAACATAATTTTCAATGTAAAATACTAAAAGCACAGAGCAAACAGTGTTTTAGATCAAACAATACTGCATCATCCATGGGGCTCATTTGGTTTTACTTACATCTCTATTCAGGTTGACATTGGAGAGGCGGTGCAGACTGAAGACATAGCCATCCGTCCGATCATGGTTGATCTTGCTTAGGGCCAAATGAGCAGCGGCCACAGTGTAATGTGGAATATTCGCTACCTTTAGCTCCGCAGTTAGCCGCCTTATCTGACTGTGCGAGAGGCAAGTGCGTCGTCACCGGCAAAAGGTCAAAGGTAACAATGTGACCGGAGGGCTTATTGTATTGTTTTTGTAGCACCGGTATCACACCACTAACTGAGCCACTGGACCAGTTCTAGGCTCTAAGGAGTGGGGAGCAAAATAATAGCACCAGAGACCGCTGCTTAAGTGAAAATGGCCGGCAATTTAATGAATGCAAAACACACATAAAATACAATACATGAAACCAAAAATACTCTGCAGATTCTTAATAATGAGGTTAGTATAAATGGGGAGGAAAAGGGAGAAGGAAAAAAAAGAATATATCACTCTTTCTTTTTGCTCTTTAGTTCACCTAGGATATTTTAATTAGACTAATTTGGATTAATTAGACCAGTATCTTTTTCATAGGTTGCACCTATTTTAAGATTTAAATTTTTCCTGAGTTAACTCTTTTCCTTTCTTTTACAGGTTGCAAAATACCTTCAACACAGTTAAATCAAGTGGACCACAATTACTCAAATCACATTCAGAAATTAAACATATGAAAATCAAAGTATGGCACTTTAAATTCAAGTTCAAGTCCAAATGTAAATATAGGCACTCAGTTCGACGAAAAGAATCAGTTTGATTCAGTCCAAAAAATAATAATAATAATTCAATCAGTCTCCAGTTCTTTTTTAGTTCAGTTCAAACTAGTTTCTGATATCCCTACCGCTCTGGCAGGGGATTACCACACGCGGGAAAGTCCCTCCCTCAATGGACAAGATGAATTGAAGTTCTAGGTCTGGCTCGCCATCTTGAATCCCGTCTGTGAATGTGCACGCCGCACATGGCAGTGAGAGGGGGTGTGCGGGAGTTGCGGTCTCCGTCGGCTCGGTAACCGCACCGGAGCCAGTGTGAGCAAGGGGTAATCCTCGCTCCGACCAAA